GAGACCATTATGTCTTTAAGAATATAATCATTGTCATGAAAATAATTGGTCAATTTTAAGCAGAATCATAAGATACATATGCATAAAATTACAATACTAGTTATAAATTCTTACAAATTTTACGAATTTCTCATATTTCTGCTTAAAATTTATCCATAAATCTGCAAGCGTACATAAAAATTATACAGTAGTTAATTTATAATGATATTATGTTGCATAGTAATATTACAAATGCAACATTACTAATCACAGTGGATTAGTAAGGGAAAAAAATATCTTAGAGTGCAAAAATGTTTCTATTCATTACAAAAGTGACATTTAATGTAACATTAGATTAGGATGTGAGATATATATTGAAAGAGTATTATTTAATATTGTATACTTAAATACTCTTTGTAAACTTTTTTTATAATTACAAATTACTAAATGTGCTACATATATAATTATAAAAAGAATTATAAAGTAAATCTAGATCACACAGTGAACTTTATATTGTGTTATATATTCAATAAAGAATATGTATTTTATTTATCTTTTTTGAATATTAGTGTTAATATGCAAAATTATATCCTATTATTCACACTTCAATTGTATAGGGCTGTGTTCGGAAACCCCCGTGTATCGTTTTATCCTTATTATTCACCCAATGTTAAACAAGGATAAGATGATACACGGGGGTACCCGGGTGATATTTCCGAACGCAGCCTAGAAAAGCTGTTTGTAAAATAAGCTATAAAATCATCTGATTTATATATAAGTTTATTTTTAAAAATTATTGAATATCTCTCTTTCTCTCTTTGGAAGTATTTTTTATATATAAAAGATAATTCGCTACTTAGTTAAAAGATAAATGCAATATGTAGCTAATGCTACCCAGTGACTAGCAAATCCGAGCTCAGCCCACTTGTTGATTGTGTGATTATAGCTATACCCTGTTTCTTGGAGATCCGACGTATCAAACATGAGACCTAAGTAAGCTAAATGAAATATCGCCCCGAAAGAAAACATCAAGTTTGTCATAAATACCATACAGTTATAAGAGTTGTATTTGTGCATGCATTTTTTCTTGGTGCACTGTTTGGACGCGACGCAAGCGTCGAAGGTATCGGCGAGCGTGGCCCTAAGCTGAAATTCCACATACGTGTAAAATCCTAGACTAAGTAACACAGCTGCCAATTGAAAGTTCAATCCGTGTAAAAGAGAACTTATCAGATACGTGATGATCACTGCTCCAAACTTTCCCAAGTTTTGAATACTAGGACGGAATATGTCTAGAAAATGATACAGGAATCAATTTAAATTCCATTTTTAGACTTTAATGCCTCGTTGCAAGATTCTTTATCATTATAAGAATTGTTTTGAATTTAGATTTTATACATACATGTTTTTAGCCAGTGATGCATTGGAATGTTCCAAAAAACAACGACCTGAACAAGCGAACGTGGAAACTCGATGTACAAGGGCTTAACTATCGTCGACGATGAAAGAGGAAATCCTCCCAAAACCAACAGTGCTGAAGCTATGTACGAAACAAAGTAATGGGACGTTCTGAAGGATATTGCATCTCTGTACGCTATTAACCACCTGAAATAAGAAAAAAAACATTTCTTTACATGAAAAGATCAAATATTCATCATAAACTTTTGAATTGTACTAACTTCCAAGAGTTATCTACAAATATCCATTGCGTCCAACAATTTGAAATGCTCAGGAAGACAAAGGAAAGGAAAACAAATCCTATACTACATATTATCCACCATTTTGTCTGTAATAGAGAATTTTATTATTAATTTTATTATTAAATATCATTGCGTCTATTTTAAACTATCTTAGAAACTGTTTTTAAAACGTGTTTCTTATTAGGTATATTTTTATATATTTTAGTGATAAAAATGATATGTTTATTTTTAAAATACCTGACTGCTAGAGTAACGTAGTGACAGATAATTTCTAAATGACACCCATGGTCCAAATAAACAAGTTACACCACAAAACATGTAACCCATATAACTGTAAACATCTGGCAAATTGTTTGAGTCATTTGTGTCAATGGCAACGCTAATCGCTTTCATCACCATAGTCATGATGACACTGCGTATCCTATGCCATATCACTGGTTGCATTGAGAGTTCACTGAAAATACATTGGAATATTCCTTATTGACTGCAGAATATAAACACAAATTATAAAATTAAAACCATATAAAACATACCAGTATGCAATTATCAAAAGGGATGGTAAAAAAATCCCTGCGCCTTTGTGCCATCTTTCTGGCACATGTAAAATACCATAAGAAAATAAAACAAATACTATCAATACTATTAAGGATTCATGCACATAATGTTGAATTATATACAAGCCTATAATAACTGACAATATGTGAAATACTTGATGTGATATGTATTCTGAAATGTAAGACAATAAAGGTTATTTATAATTTGTCACAGGAACAATCTGATAAAAAAGAGAAACAATAATTACAATATAATTATACAACTCATATTAACAGTTAAAATTTTGAATATAAATATTGAAAAAAATCTTACCAGTATGAACAAGCAGTCTAAATAAAATCGTACTGCCTAACAAAGGCAGTATATAGTGTCCAGTATCAAATAGACTAGGACTGAGACAATGTTGATACAATTCGTGAAGGGTTTCCTTCTCTGAGTCCGTGTAATCATAATCGTATTCGACATTGTTGTGCAAACACTCGTAGTCCAGACAATCGTCTTCGTCGTTGTAGAAAACCGTCGTACCTGCATCTTCCATCGCAGCAACAATAGAGACAACTAATCAGCATAGCACGTTGTGAGATTTGTATTCTGTGTTCGACCTGTTTTTTCAACAAGAACATATAAAATTTAAAAATTAGATTAAAAATATAGGAAAAATGAATAAAACAAGTAGAAGGGAAAGATGTGATTGAAGTTTGTAGCGTTCTTGGAGCGAAAATTAAATGTAAGTTCACACTGAAATAACAGACAATTGACGATCACTCACATATACATGTGACCAAAAATTTCCAACGTATGTCCAGGCGTTTCAAATGAAGATCGCGGTCCCGGAAGAGCACCGAATAGCTACACGGAAAAAATAGTATGGTTGGTTTACACAGAAATCTGGTGATGCCAACTAAATTAAATAGTAAAATATGAAGCAACTATTTATGTGGTTGCTTGAACCACATAGTACAATGATTAGGTTAGGTTATGTTACAGCACCCAGCAAACGAGAATGGATTAAAATGGATTGAAATTTTTGATCCATCTAAATCTATATTTTAAATCCATAAAAATATATTGGATTCCATAAAAATGAATACATTTCTATTCTATAAAATAATAATAAATAGAAATGTCAATGCTTCTAAAGACATAAAAATGGATTTGAAATATTTTCAAAAAATGATATACATTAAAATGGATAGAAAATATGCAAAAAATATATGCGTTTTTGTTATAAATAAAAAATTTTATAAGTAGTATTATTACACAAGCAATTGTTGGCTTCTATATATGAAACAGTCATGTAAATGTCAAATATATTTTTATTAGTCTAGCTTATTTTACAGATGTTACAAGAAACGAAACAATCACGGAAACATTTATCTCATTACTTTAAAATGTTATTAAAAATAATGATTGGTGCAATATAGATACATATTCCGTTATTAACATCCTTGCTATTTAGGGTGTTCGAAATGAATAAAGGAGATAAAAACTAATTTATAAACATACGCAAATTGGAAGATGTTACAATACAAAAATCAAATTACACACAAATAATTTTGTAACACAAAATTCTAAATAGCAAAGATGTTTACTAACGAAATGACCTCACTGTACTAATATAAAGCCTCAATATAAAGTGAGTATATAAAATATTCATATATAGAGAAAATATGTTTTTAAAAAACCTCATTTTAAAAAAGTAAATCACATCCAGCAAAAAAAATTATTGCATCATACAAAAATCAACGGATCGGTCTATTGAGTAAAAAAACACTTCCTATGGGGTGCGTTCGAAAATCTACTCGTCGGGTAGAGTAAGGTTGGGTATGGGTAAACGTAAAACTCGATCGGAGTAACACTAAAATTCAACGACTTTCCGAACGTATAAGGTAAAGTACTTATTAAGTAATGGTGAAGTCGTCTCGGCTCGGGTGCATAACCTCATTTATATTGTTGAAAAGTGTGGCCGACTGACTGTGCATTCATATTCTAAATTTTTTAGGCCCTTCATTCATCTAATATCAAAGAAGACTTAAAATTAAATTTTAAATTAAAATTAATTTATATTAATAAAATAAATTTATATTATAAAATTTATTTATAAAATAAATTTATATTATTTATTTAAATTAATTTAAATTAATTTTAAATTTTAAACTTAAATTTTCTTTGGAAAAGACATTTTGGAATGTAACCTAAATACATTTTGATGTCCTTGTAATTTGTCGCATTCAGCAAAATATTTTGTAACTGCAGTTAAGTTTTTTTTGTTGAGATAGAACCATTTCTTTAATTTATCTAAAGATACAATCCAACCTCAATAAAAAAAACTTCCAACAGATGCAAAATAAATGTTCGCCTGAATGCATTGTTTCACTTGAAATTTATATAATTATATTATTTGTCAAAAAGGAAACACACAAAAAGCGTAATAGAATTTTATTTTATTTATGTAATTATATTTTAAGAATTGCACTTGTTTGTGACATAAAATAAAATTTTATCAAGTATCGTTGTACATATAATATCACATCATGTTTCATAAAAGTTAATTATATTATAGCTAATCATAATATCACAAAGAAGTTTAAAAACAAAAGTCTAATTATAATAATATCATCCCAAATCTAATTATAATAATATTATAAGTCTAATTATAATATCACAAAGAAGTTTAATGATGAAACTCGTTGATGAAAAAGGAAACAGAAATCTAAAAATTTAATCAGAGTTTGCAAAATGAAATGTATCAAGTTTTATGTTGTGTTTAAATTTTTCGCTGATTACTGGTGTAAAACCATCGTTGGAGTTTTTTCTCCGTTTTTGTTAAATTACTCTTTGGAAATGCATTTAAAACAGCACCTATAAAATAAAAATAAAAAATAAGGAAATAAAATCGATAAGTTTATATACATTGCTTAATACATTAAATAGTTTGTGAATTATATAAATTTTAACTTACAGCTGATTGCCTCATGAAGTTTTGTATTTTCGAATTTAAGTTTGTCACCTGATCCTGAATAATTGACCATTCGAGCCAAAGAATTTGATATTACTTTTGGTAATAAACGGCCAACAGCTGCATATTCATCAGTCTGTTCATTAACCTTCATTAGTTTAACAAAATAATCCACCTTAAAAAAAAGAAAATTTAAGTTTATGTGTCACTAACTACGTAGGTATACAGGGTATCCTAGAATATTTAGGATTATTTTCATGTACAAATAGAACAGATTAAACTGATTGTGAGAATTCCTGTCAAAATTCCTTTATCAATTTTGCAATTTTCGCAACATAAATTAACGATTAAACGAGCGGATATTAAGCGTGCTTTGGCGATATTTAAAAATTAATATCTTGTCACAAAAATTGCAAAATGATAGAGGACTTTTCGATTCATTTAGTCCGCTCTATTGCCATACAAAAGTATTCTTGGACATAAATAAATATTCTGGGTAAATATTCTGGGACATTTAAACTGATAAAACTTCTCTTTATTGTAATCAATAACAAATATAATGAAATTTAAATAAAATATAATGCACACAGAGAAATCAGTTTCATATTTACAAGTGATAAAAGTGCACTTACTACAGGGTAAAAGTTATCATCACTCAACAAGAACTTTTGGATTTCTAAGAATGAGTCTTCATTATTTAAAGGAAGTGTAGGAAGATTTCTCGGCTTAATGATTTTTTCCTCTTCTGGGGCTACTTTACGATAAATTCTATTAAGCATCAAAATAACATCCCACTATGCAAATAAATGTATCAAATATTTTTCTAAAACGTTACTAAGTAACATGTAATATTTCAGAGATGTATACAAAAATATTTCTGACAAACTGCATAAATAGTTAATGTCCGTATTCAAGCACTTATTTATAAGACATTACAGAAATATTTTTTGATATGTATCATAAATGATTCTGAAGAATATTCACTGTGCAAATAAATATATCAAATAGTGTTCCGAAACGTTACTCAGAAACATGTAATGTTATAGATGTATATAGAAATATTTGTGAAATGTTGCATAAACAGTTACTATTCGTATTCAGACACTTAGTTACAAGATATTACGGAAATATTTTTTAGTATCATATCATAAATGATTCTGAGGAATAGTATTAAAATGTTATTATGTAATGTATGTGTAATAATTTATGTATAGTAGTATTATAAACGTTACTTTTGATATTTAAAATCACATAATATTTATTTATTATAAATACATATTTATTATAACAATATAACGTATTATAAAATAACGTATTTAGTAAAATAACGTATTATATATATTTGTATTATATATATTATAACAAATAATATTCTATTATAATGGTAGCAAATAATATTAAGAGGTATTGCCCGAGAAAAAGTGTCCATGCGTGATCATATATGATCATGGATTTTGATTTGACATGATCGTGTATGATCACGTATGGTAATATATATGGTCGTACACGATGTATGAGCATACATAGCTATGCACGATCATATACGATTTCATATTAGCATTCAAAATTATACATTATTTAATGCATGATTTTGTATGCCCCTGTATAATTATATCTAATTACTAACCATTTTTTCTCGGGTGTGTATTAATAAATTTTAATTTTTGTAAAATTAATAAAAATATTGTTACAAAAATTAGAACAAACGCAATACTTATTTCATTAATTTTAAGTTATATATTTATTAGTCTTTTGCGCTTTGAGTTTACGCGCGCATAGTATATTTGTGAAAGCATTAAAAATATAAAATAAAATAAATTCTTTAATAATTGTATTTTTCCAAAATAGTATTTTGGAATTTCTTTTTCACAGAGATTTAAATATATTATATATGTTAAATCAAATATTAGTAAACGATAGAAAAATATCATTTTAAACGTAAGAACAATGTAATATTTTAGAAAATTAAAATAGTAGTCCATATATTTATATTAATTCTACATTTTGTGTATGAGCGCTCATGTATATAAACATAAAACATTGTTAATATCGTATATACTGTATCATCTCTCATATACTATATCATCTCACATAAACTTAATGCACACGCACATAATTGTTTTAGAACGCACATACAGAGTATTTATTTTGAAATTCATTTCTTAATTCATAAATAAAATTGTAAAAGCATGACATAGAAATTAGAGATGTTGACATCGAATAAAAATGTCGTTAATAAATAAACTTTATCAACTCAAAAACTATTTATATTTGCTCTCAATGAATGTGAATTCGAATATGTCGAATTCGATCTATTCATTATTTGACGTATTCGAAATATATTTATTAATGATATTGAATATATTCATCAGCAACATCGAATATATTTGTTAATGAATATGAAATATATTCGATATCCGCATCTCTTATAGTAGGAATAAATTTCAAACTTCTTTTTTTACTTAAAAAAGTAAAACGTTTTTTTATTCTTTGTTATTGTCGTTGTTATTGGTATTGTTATTGTTATTGGTATGATTATTGTTATTGTTGTTTGTAGCGTTACACTTTTTTGCATTTTCACGAATTAGTCGCAGATTTGCTTGTCTAAACCAAATTTTAAGAAGTTCTTCAAATTCAGCTTCCGTAATTGCTGGACAAGTTTTTTTTATAGAAGTTAAAATATAATAACAAAATTTAAAAATAGTAGATGATGTGATTGGAATTCGGATTAAATAAATAAAGTAATAATATTGCAACTTACTTTTCACGCAAGTAATAATTTTTAAATCTTTCAGTTTAAAATTTTGTTTAGCTCCGGTCCAAGAATATTTGGAAGCAAGAGTATTTGTAAATAATTTCTGCAACGTTCTTTTTAATGCATCTTTTGCTGAAGTACCACCAATCATAACTAACATATTGACCTACAACAGTAAATATTTCTAATAAGCTATGTATACAGGGTGTCCCTATATAAGTGGCTATCCCTTATCTTTCTTGTAACGGAGGCCTTATTGCCTCCGTTACACACTAAGGGGATACAAAAGCTATTAAAATTAATAAATAGATAGATGACAACCATGTTGCTCGTCAATCGTCAATGCGAAAGTCGGAAGTTAATCACACTGATGGAAGGTTAAAATTGGAAAGGTATCAATCGCCCACAAAACTTTAAACCAAAATAAATTATATAATTTGTAAAATAATTTTGTTGCATCATACATTGTTGTACTCGTTTGAATGGACGGTACAACTTTTATCGAAACATTTACTCTATTATGCAAAAATTATGTATATCTCTCCGTTCTCCAACATAAATAATTTTTCTCAGTGATTACTGTGCTTACAATAAAGTACTCGTAAATTTAATTCGAGCGTGTAATTTGACATTTATTAAGTATCTTTGTTATTTTACGGGATAAAAATGAGGCCATTTACACAAGGACTTGTGTAAGTGCGTGCGTGCGTGCGTGCGTGTGTATGTGTATCCTTAATGTTAAATTTGATAAAACTGTAGAAAAAACAACTCCCTCCCAATAATTGATGATGACGATTTAGTTAATAATTTAATTGAGTATGAGAAGCCACTATACTGTCAATGTCAGCTGCTAAAATATAAGATGCATCTATAACTATTTTTTAAATAAATTTATGACGGTTATATGACTGCACGCAGATTATTTTTCGAACTTACAACACAATCACATCAAAATTTAATAACCTCCCAAATTTGATACTGCAGTATTTTAGAAACCTGTAATTAAAAGATAAAAAAAAGTACATACTAATTGTGATTGTGCTTCTTCTGATACTAATATAACTTCAAAATTGTTGATATCTTCAATAATATTCATTGGTAATTTTGGGAGCATATCAATATTACGATGAATATTTCTATTGTCATTAGCATTTTCCAAAAGTTCTAAACGATTGTCTATCCGTTTACATAAATGTTTTATTTCAATAACATATCGTAATATGGAATCAAATTCACCATTAGTATCTGTAATAAAGAGTATTTGAATCATTATTTATATATATATTTATCATTCAAAGAATTTTTAAAAAGTACAGTATAATAATTATTAATAATTATAATTAATGTTATATTCTTATTCTGCATTAATATGACATAATATTCTTTTTGCCGAAAATTATATATATTGAGTCAGAGGAAAAGTTCTGTGTTATTTCGTTAGCTCAAAATTATATACAGAATGTATTCGTTGTGAAATTTTCGACTATCTGACATGAAAGCTTAAAGTTTTTCCTAAAAGTTCGTTTTTAAAAAATGTCCTACGACTTTTTATTATCAAGTTACATATGGATTAAATAAGAGAGAATTCTGATTTTTCGTAACTCCGTTAAAAATCATAGTACCGTAATTAATGAAATAGATTCTTAAAGCTGAAACTTTGCTCTATCGAATGATATTATGATAATTTTAAAATATATACAAATTTGAGTTAAACATATGATATTACTATCTTTATAATCATTGCGTAATGATTAAAAGAAAAGTAATGTCATATTTTTAACTCAAATTTATATATGTATATTCTATTTTTTAAATTAACAACTATATCACTCGATAGAACAACGTTTCAGCTTCAAGGATCTGTTTTTTTTTTATTTTATTATTATTAAAGTACAATGATTTTTAATGGAGTTATGAGCAATCAAAGTCAGAATATTCCTTTTTATTTAATCCACAAGTAACTCAGGAACAAAAAATCGTGGGAACATTTCTTAAACACCATTTTGTAGGGAAAAGCTTTCACGATAGATAGTCGAAAATGTGTTCAAATTTTTTTTGGGCACGTTGCAGATCTACAAAGTGCAAAGAAAATTTTTCATTTTTTTCATTTCGTAATTTTCTATATGTAAAAATTAGAAAACTTACATAAATTAAAAAAATATAGTAATCATTTGGAAGTAGAGATTTCAAGCTTTAAAACCCATTTTTTTAATTTTAATTTTCATCATTTTTAACGAAAACATTGTATACGCAATTTTAAACTAAAAAAGTAACAGAACTTTTCCTCCGACCCAATACACATATACTATAATTCTGTTAATTCATATAAAAAATTATTTTTATAATTTACATCTATAATATTTATCTCTAGGCGCAAAATCATTGCGTTAAATAAAATCGAATGTAAAACTTACTGTGGTTATTTATAGACATAGTATCACCTTCTGCACCTTGTATGATAGGTATGTTATCAAGGAAATCATGTATGTCCCTACCAATATTATGATCGATATTAATGTCTAAACTGTCCTCTTTTTCTGAAAATTAATATTTTTTTTATTGAGTTTTATCATTTTTTTTAAATTAAAAATTATCAAAAGGGTTGATATTTTAGAATACTTCATACCTTGTGCGTGTAAAGTCTTATCTATATCGGGAATAGAGTCATTATCGCTGGTTTCTTCGAGTATGCTTGAATCACTACAGATATCTATAAATATAATTATAATATAAAATTCAAATATTCTAGAAGATAGAAATAAGTCGACCTAAAAGGTTTTCATACCATTATTTTTTGCAGTATGAATTATCTGTTTTCTTCGAAATCCACGGCCTAAATCTACTTCTGAATCTGTATTGTTTTTTCCTTCCATCATGCTCTTCTCTTTCTTTAAAGCACGTTCGTATGAATCTAATAAATAATTTTTAAGATAATTACATTTCTAAAACTTATATTTCTTACATAATTATGTTATACTGTATGTATATATTTTATTATAAAGGTTAATGTTACTCTTATTATTTTTAAA